TAGGGTAGAGTAGAGTAGAGTAGAGTAGAGTAGAGTAGGGTAGAGTAGAGTAGAGTAGAGTAGAGTAGAGTAGAGTAGAGTAGAGTAGAGTAGAGTAGAGTAGAGTAGGGTAGAGTAGAGTAGAGTAGAGTAGAGTAGAGTAGAGTAGAGTAGAGTAGAGTAGAGTAGAGTAGGGTAGAGTAGAGTAGAGTAGAGTAGAGTAGAGTAGGACTGGTGGAAACAGGGCTAATGAGCTGAAATCACAAGGATCAGCATCAACACAAACTAGTATTTTCTAATGAAATAGAACATGATATATTTTATTCTCTCTGTCACACTCTGCTGCAGGAGAGATAAAGAAAGTGTGTGTGTGTGTGTGTGTGTGTGTGTGTGTGTGTGTGTGTGTGTGTGTGTGTGTGTGTGTGTGTGTGTGTGTGTGTGTGTGTGTGTGTGTGTGTGTCTGTGTGTGTGTGTGTGTGTGTGTGTGTGTGTGTGTGTGTCTGTGTGTGTGTGTGTGTGTGTGTGTGTGTGTCTGTGTGTGTGTGTGTCTGTGTGTGTGTGTGTGTCTGTGTGTGTGTGTGTGTGTGTGTGTGTCTGTGTGTGTGTGTGTGTATCTGTGTCTCTGCTGCAGGAGACCAGGAGTCACAGACAGAGCACAGACAAACAACTACAGTATCATTTACCTCAAAGTCACGCTCAGTGCGATGACTGAGCTGTGTGTGTGTGTCTGTGTCTGTGTGTGTGTGTGTGTGTGCGTGCTTGTGTGTGTGTGTCTGTGTGGCATGCAGGAGTATTTCGGGGCCTGCAGCATGAATCATGACTTCCCACAGAGTAGGTCAGTGAGCAGTGAGTCAGTCTTATATGGTAACAACATGTGATGGAGAAGGAGTTATCTATAGCCTTCTCTCCAGTGTCTGCACCCTCCACCCACCCCTCCACCCTCCACCACCCACCCCTCCACCCTCCACCACCCACCCCTCCACCCTCCACCACCCTCCACCACCCTCCACCACCCACCCCTCCACCCTCCACCACCCACCACCCACCCCTCCACCCTCCACCACCCACCCCTCCACCCTCCACCCGCTCTCTCCTCATCTGGCTCTGGATATATTTATAATGCAAATAGTACATACAGACAACACCACGGCAACTGGAGACGAGCAGTTCTCACCTCTTTAGGATTAGCTTCAGAGATGAATCTACTGCATTGGTTTTATACAGAACTTTCAATTCCATTCCATTTATTTTGAAGGACTTCATAAAACCGGTAATTTGCCAACACAGATTAGAGAATCAAACCGTTTAAACACAAGAAATGCAATGATGAAAAACACATAGAGCCGTTGGAGCAGAGACCAATGTACGGAAATGTCTTAAAGTGCTGTGTGCTTGAATGACGGTAAGTATGAAAAACACACGCACACACATACATGGCTGCACACATAAACACACACTCACACACGCACACACACACCCACACACAATATTGTCTATTCCAAAAGTGTGGATATGTGAAAGCAGTCGGACAGTTCTGGGGTTGAGTTCCTACTTCTGAGGCTACACACATCTCTGCCGTCGGCGTTTCCGACCTCCACCAATCATCCATGCACCAGAGTCATCCCAGGCCAAGTGGGGGGAGTGTCTTGCCCAAGGACACAGCGACACTGTGCACAGCTGTCGCACTGTGGCGTCTCAGACACACACAGAGTAGAGTAGAGTAGAGTAGAGGAAACGCCACATGTGTTTGTAAGAGCAGCAGGGAACTGTCTGTTACAACCATAGACTGTACACAAATGGACAATGCTAACACACTAGCTCAATGTAGCCCAAGGGAAGTGCTCATAGACAAAGTTCTGCTCCGACTCTGGCTCCTATTGACTAACATTGAAAAGTAAACTCAGGCACCATTTAAGCTTAAAAAGTGGTGGTTTAGAGCTCTCTTTGATCCAGACATGAGACCTAACAACTGACCAATCAGGAGCCTTCTGTCACCGGATTAGTTTTTTGCGTACAGGTGCGAGAGGCGATGGATTAGCTTCTTTTCTGATTGGGAACTTGATGGTTGCTACCAACAAAATGTGCATGAATTTGGCTCCATTTTCCTGCTCAAGAAGCCTGTCCAAGCTAGCTCAAATGTGCATCAAGGCTAATACTTCCCACACGCACACGCACGCACACAAGTTCACTGTGTCATCCAGCCAACTTCAGCTAGCAATGTATGATGCGTCTTGAGTGACCAAAAAAGCAGATGCATTATTATTTTTTATTACTATTATGAATATTATTATATGTGTACACCACTGGTCTATAGTAACAACACATGATGAAGCATTCAATAATAATAGTAATAATAATAATAATAATAATAATAATAGTATTTGATAATTGTTATAAGAGTCAATATCTTTCCACGTCGTGAAGGCGGAGGAGAACCATGTGTCGTTGTGAAGGTGGAGGAGAACCATGTGTTGTTGTGAAGGTGGAGGAGAACCATGTGTCGCTGTGAAGGTGGAGGAGAACCATGTGTTGTTGTGAAGGTGGAGGAGAACAATGTGTCGTTGTGAAGGTGGAGGAGAACCATGTGTCGTTGTGAAGGCAGAGGAGAACCATGTGTCGCTGTGAAGGCGAAGGAGAACCATGTGTCGTTGAGAAGGTGGAGGAGAACCATGTGTCGCTGTGAAGGTGGAGGAGAACCATGTGTCGTTGTGAAGGTGGAGGAGAACCATGTGTTGTTGTGAAGGTGGAGGAGAACAATGTGTCGTTGTGAAGGTGGAGGAGAACCATGTGTCGCTGTGAAGGCGGAGGAGAACCATGTGTTGCTGTGAAGGTGTAGGAGAACCATGTGTCGTTGAGAAGGCGGAGGAGAACCATGTGTTGCTGTGAAGGTGGAGGATAACCATGTGTCGCTGTGAAGGTGGAGGAGAACCATGTGTTGTTGTGAAGGTGGAGGAGAACCATGTGTTGTTGAGAAGGTGGAGGAGAACCATGTGTCGCTGTGAAGGCGGAGGAGAACCATGTGTCGCTGTGAAGGTGGAGGAGAACCATGTGTTGTTGTGAAGGTGGAGGAGAACCATGTGTCGCTGTGAAGGTGGAGGAGAACCATGTGTCGCTGTGAAGGTGGAGAAGAACCATGTGTCGCTGTGAAGGTGGAGAAGAACCAGGTGTCGTTGTGAAGGTGGAGGAGAACCATGTGGGCAGATGTTTGTGGCCTTTTACCAAAGTTACGCACAATATCACTTCCTTCTATGACACATCCTGAAACACAACATCGAGGCCAACACTCAGATCAGTACTTTCTATTCCACACACACACACACACACACACACACACACACACACACACACACACACACACACACACACACACACACACACACACACACACACACACACACACACACACACACACACACACACACACACACACACACACACACACACACGCATTTTACTCCAGAGGTCACATACGTATAAAAACTAAACTAGTAATTGCTTAACATGAAGTTATATCACTTCATGTGTGAAGGAAAAAATAATTAATACATTGAGTAACTTTTAACGTTTATTAAAGCTGAGATACTTAACTTTCAACCCATAAAAACATTGGTATTTAATCAAAATCTAATTATTTCCTAAACAAAATAGGTGTGTTATTGGCCTTTGTCACTTATTCAGCTTTTTTAGACATAAAAAGTGAAAAAGAGAGAAGCTTTTTTTCATCACTTTTTGCAGTGTAGGGACCGGGGACAGACCCATGGAACCCTCCAGAACCAGACCCATGGAACCCTCCAGAATCAGACCCATGGAACCCTCCAGAACCAGACCCATGGAACCCTCCAGAACCAGATCCATGGAACCCTCCAGAACCAGACCCATGGAACCCTCCAGAACCAGATCCATGGAACCCTCCAGAACCAGACCCATGGAACCCTCCAGAACCAGACCCACGGAACCCTCCAGAACCAGACCCATGGAACCCTCCAGAACCAGACCCATGGAACCCTCCAGAACCAGACCCATGGAACCCTCCAGAACCAGACCCACAGTCCAGAGGTGATGTGTGGATTTACAGAATGAAGGAAGTGAAGCAGACGCAGAAATCAAACACTTCAAATGTTCTGAATTCTGCCCAAAAGTTCAGCGTCTTCAAGAAAACAACGAAACGGAAAAACTCCACAGGAAAGAGGCCACTGAGGCAACGCCTACGACCTGCCGCTGCCGCTGCTGCTGCTGCTGCTGCTGCTGCTGCTGCCGCTGCCGCTGCCGCTGCTGCCGCTGCTACTACTGCTGCTGCTACTACTGCTGCTGCTGCTACTGCTGCTGCTGCTACTACTGCTGCTGCTGCTGCCGCTGCTGCCGCTGCCGCTGCTGCTGCTGCCGCTGCTACTACTGCTGCTGCTGCTACTGCTGCTGCTGCTACTGCTGCTGCTGCTACTACTGCTGCTGCTGCTACTGCTGCTGCTGCTACTGCTGCTGCTGCTGCTGCTGCTGCTGCTGCTGCTGCTGCTGCTGCTGCTGCTGCTGCTGCTGCGCTGCCGCTGCTGCTGCTGCTGCTGCTGCTACTGCTGCTGCTGCTACTGCTGCTGCTGCTGCTGCTGCTGCTACTGCTGCTGCTGCTACTGCTGCTGCTGCCGCTGCTGCCGCTGCCGCTGCTGCTGCTGCCGCTGCTGCTGCTGCTGCTGCTGCTGCTACTGCTGCTGCTGCTACTACTGCTGCTGCTGCTACTGCCGCTGCTGCTGCTGCTGCCGCTGCCGCTGCTGCTGCTGCCGCTGCTGCTGCTGCTTCTGCTGCTGCCGCTGCTACTGCTGCTGTTGCCTTGTGTATGAACAGTCCTATATAAATAAACTTGCCTCACTTCCTCCACGCATACGTTACACTTAGACCTATGTTTTTCTTTTTAGTGATGGAGGATGTGAGGGTCAAAGTGTGGCTCTAAATAACCACCTCTGACTGCAGCTGTGCCACAAACACACAGGCGAGAGATTCATCGGCAACTTCAGGACTTCTCAAGGGACCAGGGACGTGCGGTGAGGTTTGTGATTGGGGAGGCACTGACTTTAAAAGTCAGATTTACAATCATTATTCAAATAAAATAGCATTTAATCACCAATGCAATGACATCCACAAACTTTATATACTGTAAAGATAAGAGAACCAGCTTCTTTTAATAATCTCACAACAAATCTAGCTGCTGACTCTGCTCCGCATCAAACAACATCTTTAAGAAGCGCAGGTGCGAGAGACGCGAGGAGAGAGGAGCAGAGAGAGACAGAGAGGAGCAGAGAGACGGAGACGAGAGGAGCAGAGAGAGACGCGAGGAACATAAACAATAATTTAAACAAGTTGCAGAACTCTTGAGCAGTGTTTGAATCAGTGTTTTTCGGAAAAGCACTACTTTGCCGGTATCTGTCAATGTTCAACATAAAACACAGATTAACAAACTCCTCCCCCGCAGCCGGACTAACCTCGTAAGTCCAGTGGTGGTCTCCCAGTCTATATTAATTCTTTCTTTGTTTGAAAGTCCAATTGAGAAAAAAAATCTTCATTCAAATCATCCATTTTCCAGCAAAAGAAATAGCATTTTGGGCTGATTGTTTGTTAGCAACTCTGGTATGAACTTTATGCTCACTATCACCCCTAGCGGTGAGGCACAGATACCGCCTGCCTCACGCCAAGCTTTTTCCTTGTGTGTTCATCTACGATCAAAAGACTTAAACTAAATATAAATTGTACACACATACGTGCAATACACTACTAAACACTAAGAGGAGTTTAAAAAATGTTTTTAAAGCAGGATATTTGAAACAAACGGTGATATATCAACTGCACGAGCTGAGTGCACTCAGACACACACACACACACACTGTGAGGGAGCGGTCTGAGGTGAGGCACGCAGGAGCGCTGCCTCACCTCGTCTCTTTGAATAGGAATAACGGGATTTCGGCGATTTTGACTTCAGAAATGATCAAAACTGATGGGAACCGTGCCGAATATACATTAAAAGCATAGGACAGTGGATATAAATTATATATTTAAACTAAAATAATTATTAGTTTCCAATAATGGCAGGTGAGGCTCTGCCTCCCCTGCCTCCCCTGACTGCACGTCCCTGCAAGGGACTGATTCTCCAACAACAGATTAGAGAGCGCAGGGAATTAGGGGTTTTTTTTTTTTTTACATTTCTCCAAGATATATATCAATTAGAGCAGACAAAAAGTACAAATCTAGTGTAGAACAAAACAAAAACACATTATTGTTGAGTATTGGTAGTGGGTAAAAACTGTGTTGGATTCATGAGAGATGCCCATTGGTCAAATCCGTGCCTCAAAAGCCAATCACGGCTTTTGTGCATGTTTTACAAAGGTGTGTGAAGCACTTTTCATGGTGTGTGTCACAGATAGTTCCTGGTGCGTCTCATGGTGTGTGTCACATGGTGTGTGTCTCAGATCAGAAGGCGCTAAAGTCAGAGGCAGGTTTGTGGTTTGAGGAGTAAGACCGAGAGAAGAAAGCTGAGCTACACAAACATCACACACTGCTACACACATGTTCCGTTGTGATATTTCATTGTTGATTTGAATACACACACACACACACACACACACACACACACACACACACACAGACACACACACAGACACACACACACACACACACACACACACACACACACAAAATGTCTTCCTTGGAATGAGAACATATATATATATATTTTTTTGCAGTGCTCATTATTTATTCACAGACATCCAACATGTGAATGCGGCGGAGTGAGGCGTGTGGAGTGAAGCGTGTGGAGGGAGGCGTGTGGAGTGAGGCGTGTGGAGTGAGGCGTGTGGAGTGAGGCGTGTGGAGTGAAGCGTGCTGAGGGAGGCGTGTGGAGTGAGGCGTGTGGAGTGAGGCATGTGGAGTGAGGCGTGTGGAGTGAGGCATGTGAAGTGAGGCGTGTGAGGCGTGTGGAGTGAAGCGTGTGGAGTGAGGCGTGTGGAGTGAGGCGTGTGGAGTGAGGCGTGTGAAGTGAGGCGTGTGAAGGGAGGCGTGTGGAGTGAGGCGTGTGGAGTGAAGCGTGTGGAGTGAGGCGTGTGGAGTGAGGCGTGTGGAGTGAGGCGTGTGGAGTGAGGCGTGTGAGGCATGTGGAGTGAAGCGTGTGGAGTGAAGCGTGTGGAGGGAGGCGTGTGGAGTGAGGCGTGTGGAGTGAGGCGTGTGGAGTGAGGCGTGTGGAGTGAGGCGTGTGGAGTGAGGCGTGTGAGGCATGTGGAGTGAAGCGTGTGGAGGGAGGCGTGTGGAGTGAGGTGTACAGGCTCGTTACGGTCTCGTTCGTCGCAGGATGATGTCACAGATATAAACAGTCTGGATCTCAGTTCTTAGAAAAGTCATCTCTGCTCTTTCAGCTGTTCAGATCTGCAGCCTAGGTTCTACTGCTGCAGGAGGCTATATTTAACAGGTGTGGGAGGGGGGGTGGGGGGGTGGGGGGGTGAGCGTGTGTGAGAGGGGTGTGATGGGAGAATGGGGAGTGGGGGGGTGAGGGCCAGTGGGGGGTGGGGGGCTCACATGAACAAGTAACAAGTGAATGGATTAATTGCAACTAATGGATTGAAAAAAACTAATAATATAATACATCTTTGAACAGCAATTTTCCAACACACAACAATTCTATTTAAATTCCCTCTACAGCTCTGACGGCAGACGCTGCTCCCTCTGATAGAGCTCTGACTGCAGACGCTGCCCCTTTTACATCACAACAGTCTGATAGAGCTCTGATGGCAGACGCTGCTCCCTCTGATACAGCTCTAACCGCAGACGCTGCCCCTTTTACATCACAACAGTCTGATAGAGCTCTGACGGCAGACGCTGCTCCCTCTGATACAGCTCTGACCGCAGACGCTGCCCCTTTTACATCACAACAGTCTGATAGAGCTCTGACGGCAGACGCTGCTCCCTCTGATACAGCTCTGACTGCAGACGCTGCTCCCTCTGATACAGCTCTGACTGCAGACGCTACTCCCTTTTCACCACAACAGTCTGATACAGCTCTGACTGCAGACGCTGCTCCCTCGTCAATCAGATGACATTAAACTAAACTTTCTTCATTCATTCATTACAACTAAAGCAATGTTAGAAAACTCTACGACAAATATTATTTACTTTATCACTTTCCACCAATTTGTATCAGATGAATTCCAGCATTAGCAAAATAAAACAGTAATTGAACTATTCAGAAATAGTTTTGGAGAATATTTTACAGCCTTAATAGTTGTTTTTTGGAGTATTTCTTGGTGAGACTGATGGAAGAGATTTTAAAGGACAAGAGGCAAAAAAAGCAGTTATGAAATGGTCAGAAATTATGGTATTTGTGTTTTTGCGATGGTTGTGTTGGCTGCGGATGGTTGTGTTTCCTGCGGATGGTTGTGTTGGCTGCGGATGGTTGTGTTGGTTGCGGATGGTTGTGTTGGTTGCGGATGGTTGTGTTGGCTGCGGATGGTTGTGTTGGCTGCGGATGGTTGTGTTGGCTGCGGATGATTGTGTTGGGCTGCAGATGATTGTGTTGGCTGCAGATGGATGTGTTGGCTTGCGGATGGTTTGTGTTTGTTGCGGAGGGTTGTGTTTGGTTGCGGAGGGGGTTTGTGTGTTGCGGAGGTTTGTGTTGGTTGCGGAGGGTTTGTTGGTCCTGCGGATGGTTGTGTTTTCCTGTGGATGGTTGTGTTTTCCTGCGGATGGTTTGTGTTGGCTGCGGATGGTGTGTTGGCTGCGGATGGTTGTGTTGGTTGCGGATGGTTGTGTTTGGTTGCGGAGGGTTGTGTTGGTTGCGGAGGGTTGTGTTGGTTGCGGATGGTTGTGTTTGCTGCGGATGGTTGTGTTGGTTGCGGATGGTTGTGTTGGCTGCGGATGGTTGTGTTGGTTGCGGAGGGTTGTGTTGGTTGCGGAGGGTTGTGTTGGTTGCGGAGGGTTGTGTTGGTTGCGGATGGTTGTGTTGGTTGCGGATGGTTGTGTTGGCTGCGGATGGTTGTGTTGGTTGCGGATGGTTGTGTTGGTTGCGGATGGTTGTGTTGGTTGCGGAGGTTGTGTTGGCTGCGGATGGTTGTGTTGGTTGCGGAGGGTTGTGTTGGTTGCGGAGGGTTGTGTTGGTTGCGGATGGTTGTGTTGGTTGCGGAGGGTTGTGTTGGCTGCGGATGGTTGTGTTGGTTGCGGAGGGTTGTGTTGGTTGCGGATGGTTGTGTTGGTTGCGGAGGGTTGTGTTGGTTGCGGATGGTTGTGTTGGTTGCGGATGGTTGTGTTGGTTGCGGAGGGTTGTGTTGGTTGCGGATGGTTGTGTTGGTTGCGGAGGGTTGTGTTGGCTGCAGAGGGTTGTGTTGGCTGCGGATGGTTGTGTTGGTTGCGGAGGGTTGTGTTGGTTGCGGAGGGTTGTGTTGGCTGCAGAGGGTTGTGTTGGTTGCGGAGGGTTGTGTTGGTTGCGGATGGTTGTGTTGGTTGCGGAGGGTTGTGTTGGTTGCGGATGGTTGTGTTGGTTGCGGAGGGTTGTGTTGGCTGCAGAGGGTTGTGTTGGCTGCGGATGGTTGTGTTGGTTGCGGAGGGTTGTGTTGGTTGCGGATGGTTGTGTTGGTTGCGGATGGTTGTGTTGGTTGCGGAGGGTTGTGTTGGCTGCAGAGGGTTGTGTTGGTTGCGGAGGGTTGTGTTGGTTGCGGATGGTTGTGTTGGTTGCGGAGGGTTGTGTTGGTTGCGGATGGTTGTGTTGGTTGCGGAGGGTTGTGTTGGCTGCAGAGGGTTGTGTTGGCTGCGGATGGTTGTGTTGGTTGCGGATGGTTGTGTTGGTTGCGGAGGGTTGTGTTGGTTGCGGATGGTTGTGTTGGTTGCGGATGGTTGTGTTGGTTGCGGAGGGTTGTGTTGGTTGCGGATGGTTGTGTTGGTTGCGGAGGGTTGTGTTGGCTGCGGAGGGTTGTGTTGGCTGCGGATGGTTGTGTTGGTTGCGGAGGGTTGTGTTGGTTGCGGATGGTTGTGTTGGTTGCGGATGGTTGTGTTGGTTGCGGATGGTTGTGTTGGTTGCGGATGGTTGTGTTGGTTGCGGATGGTTGTGTTGGTTGCGGAGGGTTGTGTTGGCTGCAGAGGGTTGTGTTGGTTGCGGAGGGTTGTGTTGGTTGCGGATGGTTGTGTTGGTTGCGGAGGGTTGTGTTGGTTGCGGATGGTTGTGTTGGTTGCGGATGGTTGTGTTGGTTGCGGAGGGTTGTGTTGGTTGCGGAGGGTTGTGTTGGTTGCGGATGGTTGTGTTGGTTGCGGAGGGTTGTGTTGGTTGCGGATGGTTGTGTTGGTTGCGGATGGTTGTGTTGGTTGCGGAGGGTTGTGTTGGCTGCAGAGGGTTGTGTTGGTTGCGGAGGGTTGTGTTGGTTGCGGATGGTTGTGTTGGTTGCGGATGGTTGTGTTGGTTGCGGATGGTTGTGTTGGTTGCGGATGGTTGTGTTGGTTGCGGATGGTTGTGTTGGTTGCGGAGGGTGTGTTGGTTGCGGATGGTTATTACATTATAATGTCTCACTCATTGTACTTTTGGAGGGGGTGAGTTTTCCGTCCCTGCCTTTTCTTGTGACTCGAAAGGAAAAACTTAATGTAAAGCACTGACCAAGGCCAAAGGTTCAATAACAGACGTAGTAAGTATTTTAGTACAGATACACACTACACAATGCACACGGCCAAATCATGTTTTTTTATGCTATATGGGGCAGTATGCTATATCCTTACAGCAAACTGAAAAAATGAGCCATATTTATAGCATCCTAGCCTGGACTTACCACACCAAAGTACAAATTACATTTCGTACTAAGGTCTGGATTTGCTCCATTGACTCCGTGAACAGGTGGGGAGGGGCTAAACTCCTTTTGTGGCGGGGGGGAGGTGTATGAGGGGGTAAACCATTTGGATCTGAGTTTACCAGTGACGTAGTAATGCGCCCCGAATGAGTCGTTAGCATTTAGGCCTAGCTTTAGCATCTCCTTTGCCGCTAACATAGCCCCTGTGGATAGCGCCAACAATTTTTGCCTGAGACTCCATTTGCTAAACATTCCTCTTGCTCCTGCATCAGTTTTCTTGCTGGAACCAAAACTGGATTACTTACAATCGCATTCTTCGCCAACTACAACCATCCCGTCGACGCAAACACTTGACGACACCCACATTTCTAACTACAACACCCGCCTCCGCGCTCTCTGAGATGGGGGGGTCCGGATGGAATTCAACCGTTGTAAACGCAAACACAGGACCAGACCAACATTACCCTGCAGGACATGATGATTGACAGGAGATACGAATGATAGTTTATATCATACCTGTCATCAGACTGTTGTTTATATACTGAGGTTGTGTGTGTGTGTGGTGTGTGTGTGTGAGTGTGTATGTGTGTGGTGTGTGAGTGTGGGTGTCCTGTGTGTGTGAAACCTTACAATTAGCAGCAAATGCAAAAAAAACCCCCAAATCTTTCTCTCGAAAACGTGCTAAAGCTAGTTGTTTCTGTGGCAGTGTTTTAGGAGCGAAAGCCATGCGGAAGCTCAGTAAACAGGGTTGGACCCAGGAACAACAGACCCCCCCCCACAAGACCCCCCGTCCCATTTGGTCTGAGGGATAAGGCCACACACCGCGGTCCAATCTATAGGACAAAATCGCTTAATCTGGAGCCGATAAGTCACAGGGAAAAAAAAAGAGAGTCCTGTGTAAAAGTGTGTTTTTTGGGTTAGTAATGGTCAAATGGTGAGTGTCAAGCGTGTGGGCAAAACCATTTATATGATTCATATACAAGTGGTGCCTTGTTTATCACGGGATACGTTTTTTAAAATAGCTCCGCAATAAATAATATCCAAGTAGCAGCAGCAGAGAGACCAGGTCGCTGAGAGATACCAGAGACAAGAACGGAGTCCAGAGAGAGACCCAAGAGAGACCAGAGAGGACCAGAAGAGAGACCAGAAGAGAACCAAAGAAGACCATGGACCAAAAGAGACCGAGTTGAGACCAGAGAGAGACCAGAGAGAGACTAGAGGGAGACCAGAGGAGACCAGAGAGAGACCAGAGAGAGACTAGAGGGAGACCAGAGGGAGACAGAGAGATAAACCAGAGAGACCAAGAGAGACCAGAGAGACCAGGACAAAGAGAGACCAGAGGGAGCCAAGAGAGACCAGAAGGAGACCAGGGGGAGACCAGAGGGAGACCAGAGAGAGACCAGAGAGACCAGAGAGAGACCAGAAGACCAGGGACAAGAGAGAGACCAGAGGGAGACCAGAGAGAGACCAGAGAGAGACCAGAGGGAGACCTAGAGGGAGACCAGAGAGAGACCAGAGGGAGACCAGAGGCGCCCAGAGAGAGACAAGAGAACCAGAGAGAGACCAGAGATACCAGAGAGAACTAGAGAAAGACCAAGAGACCAGGGACAAGAGAGAGACCTGAGAGAGAGACAAGCTGCAACCTAACCAAAAAAAAAAAAAGGGGGAAACAAAAAGTTTTCCTTCTGACTTTTAAAAGGTGATACTAGAGGTTTTGTGAAGTTGTAAACACCATTCGTTAAAAAAGCACGCAAGGGGAACAAAAATCCACAAACATGTTTTTTCCAGTGTTGACATTTGAACTCACATTTGAAATTATAAACTGAATGCAAAGTTCGCAACAAGGGTTTAAAAACGATATAAATCTTTTCTTCTCCTCCACATCCACAAAAGAGTCCTCCCCATCTATCTGCACCGCAACAGATCTGCTATATCTGTACTGTGCGCTTCACCTCAGCAGAAGTCTGAACGCTTTCACACAGAGACACACCCATTACAACACACACATGCATTATTACAGCCGCGCAGCACAGACGCCGCTGCAGCTTCACAGAGAGAACACCACATTTACCGACACACACATGCATTTTACCGCCGCGCAGCACAGACGCCACTGCAGCTTCACACAGAGACACACCACATAACAGACACACACATGCTTTTACAGCAGTCAGCACAGACGCCCGCTGCAGCTACACAAGAGACACACACATTACAGACACACACAGCAATTTTACAGCCGCGCAGCACAGACGCCGCTGCAGCACAAGAGAGACACACACATAACAGACAACACCTGCATTTTACAGCCGCGCAGCACAGACGCCCTGCAAGCTTCACACAGAGACACACACATTACAGACACACACATCATTTTTAACAGCCGCGCAGCACAGACGCCGCAGCATGCTTCACACATAGACACACACATTACAGACAAACACATGCATTTTACAGCCGCGCAGCACAGACGCCGCTGCAGCATCACAGAGAGACACACAACATTACAGACACACACATACATTTTACAGCCCGCAGCACATACGCCGCTGCAGCTTCAGATAGAAGACACACACCATTACAGACACCCACATGCATTTTACAGCCGCGCAGCACAGACGCCACGCAGCCTTCACACAGAGAACACACACATTACAGACACACACATTCAATTTACAGCCGCCCAGCACAACGCCACTGCAGCCTTCACACAGAGACACACACCTTAACAGACACACACATACATTTTCAGCCCGCTCAGCACAGAACGCCGCTGCAGCTCACACAGAGACACACACATTTACAGACAAAACACATGCAATTTACAGCCCGCCAGCAACAGACGCCGCAGCAGCTTCACAGAGAGACACACACATTACAGACACACACATGCATTTTACAGCCGCGCAGCACAATACGCCGCTGCAGCTTCATAGAGAAGACACACACAGTACAGACACACACATGCATTTTACAGCCGCGCAGCAAGACGCCCATTTTTTTTTGTCTGCAGCTCACCAGAAGACACACACATTACAGACACACACAATACAGACACACACATGACATTTTACAGCCGCGCAGCACAGACGGCCCGCATGCAGCTTCACAACAGACGCCGTCTGCAGCATCACACAGAGACACACACATTACAGACACACACATGCATTTTACAGCCGCGCAGCACAGACGCCGCTGCAGCATCACACAGAGACACACACTAACAGACACACACATGCATTTTACATGCCCGCGCAGCAACAGACGCCGCTGCAGCTTTCACAGAGAGTGAAAAAAGGCATCAAACCCCTAAAAAAGAATTTGGAAATGGAGGCTGCACCCAACACCACCATTGTTCCACTCAAAGACACAAGCTTTTAAACTACTACACAATTCACATCCGATCAGAGGAGGAGGGGGGGTGGGGGGGGGGGGGTGCTGCAATATTCAACATTGGAAAAAGAACGTCGTAATTTTGCTTAAAAGCTTGAGTTAAGCTGGTTTAAAACCTCATTTCGTATCATAAATAATACCTGTTTCATTCAGTCGATTCTGTCTTTTTTCTGTTGCAACCAAAACACAACAGAAGTGATTTCAGAGAACTTTAAACCGACCCCATTTAGTTATTCTCTCTTAGTTTTGTCTGACAGGAAAAAACATGTGGCTCAGACTTGACATAAACCCAACCTAACCAGTGCACATGATCCAGACCTAAGGCCAGTGCACCATGGTCCCCAGACCTAGACCAGTTGCCCCCTGGAAGAGGTCCAGACCAATAGGCCCCGTGCACCATGGTCCAGACCTAGACACGCACCAAGTTCCAGACCTTTAGGCCAGTGCCAAGGTCCATACCTATAGGCCATGCACCAGGTCCAGACCTAGACAAGTCGCACCATGTCCAGACCACTAGACCAACCACCAGGGTCCAGACCAAGACCACCACCATGGTCCAAGACCTAGACCAGTGCCTATGTCCAGACCTATAACCAGCGCCCCATGGTCCAGACCAAGACCCGCGCACCAGATCCAGACCAACCAGCGCCCCATGTACCAGACCTAGACCATTGCACTAATGGTCTACCTCAGCTTTCATGTGGTGGAAGTGACTCAAAATTTATGATCTTAGGTTATTTATATTTCAGATGAGGTCCTGGATGTATTTGATGGAGTGAGTGTCCGTTACCATGTGTGCGCCGCTGGTACAGTGTCCTGGTTACCATTGTGCTTGCTGGGTACAGTGTCCTGGTACCCTATGTGCGCCGCAGGTACAGTGGTCCTGGTTACCATGTGTGCGCCGCTGGTTAAATTGTCCTGGTTACCATGGTGTGCGCCGCTGGTACAGTGTCCTGGTTACATGTGTGCGCCGCTGGTACAGTGTCCTGGTTACCATGTGTGCGTCGATGGTCAGTGTCCTGGTTACCATGTGTGCGCCGCGGTACAGATCCTGGTTACCATGTGTGCGTCGCTGGTACAGTGGTCCTGGTTACCAATGTGGTGCGTCGCTGGTATCTTTTTTCTTTTGGCTTATTTAATACCAAGTAGCGACAAGTTACAAAATATAATATTTTGTCACAGATCAGAAGGTGCTAAAGTCAGAGGTCTGTGATTTGAGGAGTACAGTAAGACCGAGAGAAAGGAAAGCTACACAAACATCACACACTGCGACACATACAACACCCCCTGCTACACACATGTACCTGTGATATTTCATTGTGAATTTGATTACACACACAAACACCACAGACACACACACACACAGACACACACACAACACACACACACACCAGACAACACACCAGACACAACACACACACAGCCACACACACACAAGACACACACACACACACACACACAGACACACACACACACACACACAGACACACACAGACACACACACACACACACACACACACACACAGACACACACACACCCACACACACACACAACGCACACACACACTAACAAAGACACACACAGACACACACACAACACAGACACACACACTTACTCACTCACAGACACACACACACACACACACACACTCACACACACACACCACACACATCACACACACAAAACAAGCTCTGATGAAATGAGTTTTGTTCTAGTCTTACTATTTAAACCGTCCATGTCCTTAAAGTCATTTTCTCTTCAAACCACACATTTCTTCTCTACATTCCTTTTGATTTCCAAATTTGTGAAACAATTTACTTCACAAACTGGAAATCTTTTGATCAGTTAGAAAAGTATCATTATGTAAATCCTCACAGCACTTTGTAATGGTCCGTCCGGTTTTAAATAAGATCTAAGATGATTCCAATCCTTCAGTCTCGTGTTTACAGTGTTTCTGTGATTTATTTCAGTATTATCTAGTTTTGTTAATTGTGGTATCAATCAAGTCTGATAATTTTTCATACATTAGGCGAACCCTGTTAGAGCCAGGTCTGTGCAAGAGCAAGTCTAATCTATTATAAGTATTTTTTACAATCACTAAAAACTGAATGAATCTTTCTGCACTGCAAAAAAAGATCAATATTTTGAGGTCATAAATGCAGGCCAGTTTTTTCAACTTAATCACACACATGCTTTATTTTCTCAATCCAGGGGACACATTTCTCAATCTAAAACAAGATCATTTTGTTTTTCTCATTGGAGAATCTCAATTTTAAGGCATAATGTGGTCAGATTAAGACACTTTTTGCCAAATGTAGCAATTTTTTTGCACTTGTATTTCATAGTCCTGCCAAATAAGAAGCCACCTAATTAATCTTTATTTATATTTAAGGCCCCCCCCCCCACAGCCTGATGGAAGACAGCAGCGGAGACAGAGGTGGGCGGACTTCCTCTTAACCCTTTGAGAGAAGCAGCTAGGCCCAAATAAACTGAGCAGTGAGAAATGTGTGTGTGGACTTTTGTTATATGTAAAAATGTTAAGATAAAGGATTTCCCTTATTGGTCCCACAGGGGAAAGAAAAAGAACAATAACTCTGTACAAAAATAAACCTAAGAAGCAAGTTTAAAATCTACAACTTTAGCATCAAAAAGGTCAAAATAATGCAGTCTAAAATATGGGTTTTCTCATTGTATTGAATCAAGGCAGAGCTAGTCCATAAGGGGTCGGGACTCCATCCATGGTCCATCTACACTGCCAAAAAGGTGATACTTAATAAGTCCAAAAATGGCGGTAATTTTGCTTTCATGTGTCTCTGACTGAGCATTAAAACTAGATTCTCCAACGGGACAAAGACCGGAGCCGTGTTCGCTGCCTCAAAATGCTGCGTTTAGATGAGGCGGAGCGCGAAAAATCCGATACACACATGTTCTAGCCTCCAGCCAGTGGGGGGCAGTGGACACACGACACCCCCCCCCAGCAAGGATGTTTCTGTTGGGAATCCGTTTTCTGCGTTTTTTTTTCGGTGCGGATCCAGATTAGGTGCTTGTCCTATACGCCGTTTCTGTGCGTCGGCTATATGGGCGTTATGTATTCGAGTTAGCTAGTTTCGTTGTATTCCTTCCGGTTTTTCTTTTTGGGGCTTTTCCATGGGTTTTCCCGCTCAACCCTCATTCGAAGACTTTCCGTTGGGGGGGGTTCCTTTGACGGAGTTCTTTATGGTCCGTCCTCAAGGGGGGGCAGTGTCTTTGGTTTGTCTCCGGTTCGTCGATGGTACCTTGCATCTCGTTCCTTTTGATGTTTTAGGTTAAGGTCTGTGAGATTTGAGGATTTGAGTTGCTCCGCCGTGGCGTCTTTGCGAAAATCTGTTGGGAGACTTCCTAGTTCGTGTCCGGTTGTCCAGAATTATGCAGTTGCTTGTGATTTGTGGTATTACGTTCGCCAGCCTTGTTGGTCAGGGTTATTATTTAGAAGTCTATGGTGGCGATCCCTGGCGTTATCTTATTGCTTTTCCCATGGGCGGGAGTATATATGATCGTCGTCTTCTTGTTTTACTGTGTTGTTAGGGGTTCTCTGGCGCGATTTAGTCTGGTGTTGGAGACTAGTTTCATGGTGGGGTTTGTTCTAGTTTGGGCTCCGTTCCATCGCATTTGCTATGCGTTGGGGGTGCTGCATTACCAAACTTTCGCGATCGGTTCTGCCCTTCCGGCTTGTGCTTTCAGTTAGAGGTTTTATCATCACTTCTTGCTTCGGCTAGGATCTCATTTTCCTGCCTCGCTCTCCTGTTTATCTTCTTTCCCCATCGCTAGTCTTCAGCTTGGGGTTATTTTGTGGTGGTTCTGATTCTGCTGCTCGTGCGCGGTCTTATTTGTGGTTCTGCCGATATTTCTGGACTTGTATATAGGGATCTATAGGGCTGCCCGGGTTCTTTGAATTTTCCTTAGTTGCGCAGTTCGGCGTGTAATGTGGCGTGTTTTTGGTCGATGTGTCCTCCTATTCCTTATCGCTTCTTACCTGGATGCGTTATTACTTTGTGTTAGTACCGTTTTGGGCTGGTCTAGCGAGTCACACATCCGGTAATTGCTCTGCATAGGCGTGTTAATCAGACGTGATTCTTTTGTCTTGTTTTATTTGCTCCAGATTTTCTGGGTCGTTTGCGGTGGAAGTTTCAGTTATGTGTGGCAGCTTGATTGTACTTGATAGGGTGTAATATGATGGATTTACGCTTTTCTAGTGGGTAGGTTGGGACTTTTCAGTTTTCTTGGGTTTACACGTTATTAGGCACTCACTGGTGCGTCTTTTTTGTTTTGTGGTAGCGCCTTGCAGCGGTTCGATCACCGTTTGGTGGGGCGTACGATTTTACGTTCGTTGAGGAAAGTTGTCTATAATCCTTTCTGTGGGGGTTAATGTTTAGCTCAGGTTAGGCAGCACGGGATGAGCAGAGGGGGTTGGGGGCTCTGGCAAGTGTTTTTTCCCTAGGGAGAGGCTTCTCTATGGTATCTGGGTTTCATTCGTTCTTGGTTGGGTCTGATAGGGGGATCGTTTAGTCTGGCACCTCGTAGCATTTCTGCTTGGTATGCGACTCGTGAGTCTGTCAAGGGGGTGCGCGTTTTTTCGTCTGATTGGAGGTCGTTTAATGTGGGGTCTGTTTTTGATGGGAGTACGTGATGACGTGACTGTTTTGTACCGTAGGTGATCTAATTTAGGTGTATTCCGTTTAGGGCTACTCTCTGTCGTGTCGGGTTTTAGGTGTGGTGTTTAGTTGCTGTCATCCATCTCTGTACTTCATTTTTGCAATGGCGTTGGTGATTCCATTTTGTTCAAACGATAGGAGTGTGTGGGGGGAATACTATGGGAGCATCCCGGGGTTTTTGTTTTTAGAGGGAAGTTCTCTCGGTTTGTCGATTTTTGATTGGCGCGCATTTGGTCGGTCAGTGTATTTGTTTGGTTGCGCGTCTTAGGGGTAGATTACCGATTTTGCGTTTGCAGCTGCTTCGTAGCGTTACAGGAGTGTGGATGTTGTAACGCTTTGACACCTTTTCAGGATCAATCATGTGCTCGGCCGAGCTTATTACGCCGTTGGGGTGACACTTGTTGATAGGGAAAACTCGTAACCGACTGTTTCAGTACGGTTTGGGTCGTGGGGAAGTCGTTAAGTTCTCTTTGGTGACTATGTTTGTTTCTTGATCTTTTCCTGTTGTTGATCTTGGTGATACTTGTTGTTAGATGTTATGCGGAAGTAAACGGGGTTGTGATCTAGTTGCTTGGACGGATCTTAGAGTCAACGAGTTACTGGCTGCTCAGTTTTTTCCTGCCCGGTTTCGGGATGGTGGAAGTTCTCTATGTTGTGGTGTTTTGGGCGGGCAGCGGTGGAGCGAAGATTGTTTGACGTGGAGTATTTGTCCTGTTGTGTAAGTATTTATGACTGTGTTACTTAGGGTGGTGGCCCGTCTTCTTCTATAGTCAGTTTATTTTCGTTTCTTCTGTATTGTTGCCGGTTGTTGTCCTGACTGAGGCATTTAAGATTCTTGGGATGAGTCTTTAGTTTACTTCTCTGGGCTTATCGGAGATGCTTCCTGCTTGGTATAGGTGTTTTCTTGTGTCTAGTTACCGGTCTGCGTTCTGATGAGTAGTTGCTTTTGTGGGTGTCGGTCGTGACCCTTTACTAGGCGTGGGCTCTAGAGGCCCCCTCTCACACAGGGCTATGTCTACTTAGCCTCACTTGAGCTTTTCGGTGCGGGGCCCCGAGGGGTGAGGGCTGTATGTTCTCACGTCCTTTTCTCAGCCTTCTTTTCCTCCCATTGAATTGGCTAGTTCGTGTGCATGCGCGACTCTCGGTGTTTGGTAGTGAACTGGTGTTGCACTTCCTGCGCCGGCATTCTCGAGGGCAAATGTAGGTTCGTCGCGAGAAGTATATTTTCATGTTGTTGCTGAGGGTCTTCGTCGAGGCCACGGTATATTCGCATGGGTTGTAAGACCGTTGAACAGTTACGCGTGTATGTCGTCGAGTTTGTGAAATTACTCTTTGGTCCGTTCCCGTTCCGCTTATTCCCCGAGTTTTTGTGGCTTACTCTGCTCCTAGTTCTTTGGAGTCTTGTGTGGATTTTATGGTCTAAGTTGTGTTTCCGGTTCACAATTGTGCTCTGGCGAGTTTGATGGTCTTGGGTCTAAGGTTTTGAATCGTGATGTTGGCCTTTTATAATTCCAGTATATCTACGTTTTTGTGCTGGTTCCTTTTTCAGAGGTCTTTATGATCTGCGGGGGATTTGATATGTTGGGATGCCCGGTGTTGCGGCACTCGTAGTGTGTGGGATGGGTGTGGGGAGGGTGTGGGGGAGTGTGTGGGGGAGTGTGTGGGGGAGTGTGTGGGGGAGGGAGTGGGGGAGGGTGTGTGGGGGAGTGTGTGGGGGAGTTGGGGGGACTGTGTGGGGGAGTGTGTGGGGGAGTGTGTGGGGGAGTGTGTGGGGGAGTGTGTGGGGGTGGGAGTGGGTGGAGGGTGTGGGGAGTGTGTGGGGGAGTGTGTGGGGGGAGTGTGTGGGGGAGTGTGTGGGGGAGTGTGTGGGGAGTGTGTGGGGGAGGGAGTGGTTCATTCAGGTTTTTCTTGGAGGCTTTTGCACACCGCCCTCTTCGTCCCCAACAAAAACATCCTGAGAGAACAGAGTGAGCGGCCGCCGTGCAGACCACCACCACCGCCGCTGTTCACCCCAAAGCTCCACAGTCACAGGAACGTCTGTGCTTGTCTGGTGCACACTGGGGACGTTTGTAAAAGTATTCCAATGTGGTTTTACTGCAAATGGCAAATAAATGAATATGAATCTGAACTACCGTGTGTTTTTCGTCATTGCATTTCGACAGCTTTGTAAAGTCCAAGCAGGAGTGGGCAAAATATATCCTAGACATCAATATCGTGAAAGTCAATTTGAAGACGTGCTTTTCCGTATTATCGTGTTTTTATTAATCACAATCAGAGAAAGCAAGACGCCCATTTGTCTCATGTGTGCCTAAAAAGCCAATCACTGCTTTATTTGTACATTTCATAAAATATTGAGCCTTTTTGGTTGTGTTCTTTCTGTGTTACTTGAATTTGATTTTTTGTGCATGTTTTACTAAGATTTGTGAAGCACTTTACAAATAAAAAGCTTCTATTTTGATCTACACTGTCTCTCTCTGTGTAAAATTTATTTTAAGTTGGGAAAAAATATTGGGAAAAAATATTGAGTTGAATTTATTTTTGCCCATATCGCCCACCCCTAACTCCAAGATAACTACTGTTGTGACTCAGAGCTGTACAAAAGGGAATTGAAGGGCTCTGATACCTGCTTCTAGTCAGACAGTTTTTTTTTTAGCTTGAACCCTTTAAATAAAAGCTGTAGATTTGTCAACACAGATCCCAGAATTAAACACCACTTGAGATATGAATGAGTCGTGCTTGATATAGAGATACTGTAGTGACGTGTTCAGAGCTTTAGATAATAATGTGTAGCAGTAATTCAGACTTAACAGGGGTCTGCAGCACAACGGGTCAGGTCCCACAGAAGGTATGGAAAGTACAAAATCATTAAATAGAATACATAACCACAAGCTTAGAACAGCCTGAAACCAGTCTAAACACAAACAAAAACACCATTGGACAAGTCTGAGTAAGTAAAATGTTTAGACCTTTCTGTTTTAGAGGAACCACTGAGATAGTGTCTCTCCGAAGCCCCATCATCTCAGATTCAGATTCAGAAAACTTTTTTGATCCCAAAGGGCAATTCATATTGCAGCATATTCTCAAAGCAGAACACACATACTCTACACAAACACACACACACAGACTACACAAACACACACACACAGACTCTACACAAACACACACACACATAGTCTACACAAACACACACACACAGACTCTACACAAACACACACACACATAGTCTACACAAACACACACACACATACTCTACACAAACACACACACACATACTCTACACACACACACATACTCTACACAAACACACACACACATACTCTACACAAACACACACACACAGACTACACAAACACACACACACAGACTCTACACAAACACACACACACATAGTCTACACAAACACACACACACAGACTCTACACAAACACACACACACATAGTCTACACAAACACACACACACATACTCTACACAAACACACACACACATACTCTACACACACACACATACTCTACACAAACACACACACATACTCTACACACACACACATACTCTACACAAACACACACACACATACTCTACACAAACACACACACACATACTCTACACAAACACACACACATACTCTACACAAACACACACACACATACTCTACACTAACACACACACACAGACTCTACACAAACACACACACACAGACTCTACACAAACACACACACACAAACTCTACACAAACACACACACACATACTCTACACACACAACACACACACACATACTCTACACAAACACACACACACATACTCTACACAAACACACACACGTACTCTACACAAACACACACACACATACTCTACACAAACACACACACACAGACTCTACACAAACACACACACACAGACTCTACACAAACACACACAGACTCTACACAAACACACACACACAGACTCTACACAAACACACACAGACTCTACACAAACACACACAGACTCTACACAAACACACACACACAGACTCTACACAAACACACACACACATACTCTACACAAACACACACACACATACTCTACACAAACACACACACACACACTCTACACAAACACACACACACACATACTCTACACAAACACACACACACATACTCTACACAAACACACACACACATACTCTACACAAACACACACACACAGACTCTACACAAACACACACACACAGACTCTACACAAACACACACAGACTCTACACAAACACACACACACAGACTCTACACAAACACACACAGACTCTACACAAACACACACAGACTCTACACAAACACACACACACAGACTCTACACAAACACACACACACATACTCTACACAAACACACAGTGAGTCTCAGCCGCAGGTATAAGTTAAAAACAACAACGAACAAAACTATTCCCAAAGGTCACACACCTCGACCAGAGTTCAACACTTTAATGGGTAGGGCACAAAAGCATTAAAAAACGGTTTGTTATCGGCGCTGGGGCATAAAAACGACGCCCTGAAGGCCTCATTACAAAGTCAGCGATCAGAGGATGTTTGAGGATTTGAGTGATCATAAATGTGGCCCTTTCCCAAAGACAAAGACAACACAACTCTCACTTGGATGTATTGCACTCACCTACAAAAACTGCCATACATCCAGAACTCTGCAGCCCGCCTCCTCCTCACCCACACCCGGTCCAGAGAACACATCACCCCTGTCCTCCAGCAGTGCAAGCTCCTCCTCCTCACCCACACCCGGTCCAGAGAACACATCACCCCTGTCCTCCAGCAGTGCAAGCTCCTCCTCCTCACCCACACCCGGTCCAGAGAACACATCACCCCTGTCCTCCAGCAGTGCAAGCTCCTCCTCCTCACCCACACCCGGTCCAGAGAACACATCACCCCTGTCCTCCAGCAGTGCAAGCTCCTCCTCCTCACCCACACCCGGTCCAGAGAACACATCACCCCTGTCCTCGAGCAGTGCAAGCTCCTTCTCCTCAACTACAAGTCCCTCCATACCCTGGCCCCGCCCTGGCCCACTGAGCTCCTACAAAAGCACCAACCCACCCGCCGCCTTCACTCAGCCGATTCCAACCTCCTCACCCCCATCACCCGCACTAACCGCCGGACCTCGGGGGACAGAGCCTTTGCCATTGCCGCCCCAACCCTCTGGAACTCACTCCCACTGCCCATAAGAAAATGACTCACTACGGTGGCTGAGTGGATAGCACTCTCACCTCTCAGCAAGAAGGTCCTGGGTTCGAATCCCGGTTGGACCAGGGCCTTTCTGAGTGGAGTTTGCATGTTCTCCCCGTGTCTGCGTAGGTTTCCTCCGGGTGCTCCGGTTTCCCCTACCACTAAAAATATGTACAATAGGTCTGACATGTGCCTCCTGTACTGTCACCCCCACTCCCAAAAAAAACAAAAAAACAATTGTAAACCGCTTTGAGACTCCGATGTGCAGTGAAAAGGCGGTATATAAATAAAGATTACTACTACTACTACTACCAAACTTTAAATCCGTCTCAAAACTCATCTTTTCAAACAAGCTTTTACGTAAACCCTTTTTTTTATTATTGTGTTTTATTCCCCATGTGAAGCGTTTTTGAGTGTCCAAAAAAAAGCGCAATACAAGTTCGATGTATTATTATTATTATTATTATTATTATTATTATTAACATTATAGCATCTAAAACCATCAGGACCACTGCCTCAGCATGACCTCACACCTGGACTGTGCTTCGGAGACAGCAGGAGTGGATTGAGAAAACACACCAGAGATTTTAGACACGACTCGACCAGGAGAGCGGCCAGCACTGACAACTTCAGCTGCCTCATGTCCACACAGGGGTTTCCATGGAGACGAGGCTGGATCCTGCAGGCCCGGGTCCAGAGACAAACAGACGAATGAACCCCAGCTCTTTCCGCTCTGTGTCAGAAGGTAAGTCAGCTCCAGTGTTTCCACATGGGAGGCTGCTTTCCCATGGTCCAGACAACACTTCCTAAAGCCCGTGTTCACAGAGGGCATCTTTTCAGCCCGGCTCTGGAGCAGACTGTGGGAATTAGCATGCTTCAGTGGCCCTGCGGAAAACAAGCTTCTTTGAGGACCGCGGCAGGTCTGATCCGAGAGAGCTTTGGCAGATTTTGAGAACACACATTACATGACAAAGCTATCATCAGCCCAATCCAATCCAATCCAATTCATTTTTGTATAGCCCTATAACACAACAGTACTTTGCAAAGCTGTTGATTCACCAACACAGATCAGAGAATCAAATATGTTCAAATACAGAAAGTGCAATTATAAAAACACATAGAGCCATTGGTCCACAAGGGGCAGAGACCAAGTGAATGTCCTTGATCAGGGCCAGGGGTCTCCAACCTTTTCCCCCAGAGAGCTACTTTCTTGAGACAAAAATGCCAAAGAGCTACTTTCTTAAGGCATCCTGGGAGTTCATATATTTGTGAGAGTGAGCTTGAGAATGCGCTTGAGTCGTTTATCATCACATATTTGTTACTAATAATGAAGGAAGTTAATAATATAATTCGGAAATATTCTACATCTGTTGGGGAGCTACCTGGGAGGGGCTAGCGAGCTACTGGAGCTATAGGTTGGAGACCCTTGTCCTCAGACCCTCCTACATCGACACGGAAAATCTCTAAAAACCCAGCAGGGAAACAAGAACTGTGTCCAACTGTGTTTGTATCTCCAAGCAGATTTTACTTCTTGTACTCGGGGCTTGTCCAGCGTCCTTTACAGCAGACACTGACTAAACAAAGAATGAGATTAGATTAAACTCAACCAGTAAAAGGACTTGTTTCTCCCCATATCTTTGCAGCTCCTGACTGCAGGCCATGGAGCAGAGAGGTGCTGGGTCATATCTGTGTGACTGTGTTGTGTGTTGTGTCTGTCTATTGTGTACTTCTAATGCAGCAGCTGTAAGAGCACGACAAATTTCCCTCTGGACATAATACATCAATCTTGAATCTTGATCTTAAGAATTCTCTTCAACACGTTTGTTTCACACGGCTTAGTCTGACCTTGTCTTTCCCGCCTTCTCCAACTATGTGCAATACTGTTGATGTAAATCCTCATCACATTTGCACTTGTAAATAGTAGTGACTTTAAGTAATGTTGTGTAGATGTTTTCATTTTTCTGCCTGCCTTATTCTATTATAACTTTTAAACATTTTTGGACCAAGAGCCTTTTTGGACCTAGTTTATGACTTCTTGTTATTCAAATCCGCACTCTCTCAGAGAAGCATCACAACAATAACTGACTGACAGCGTCACCTCCAACACTACAGACTTATATACACACACACACACACACACACACACACACACACACACACACACACACACACACAGTAACAGTGTGAGTCTAAATACCAGACTGATGTGCCAAACCCAGGCTCTCCGCGGGGTCTCTCCCACTGCATGTGTCCGAGGGGCCCCAGACTCAGAGGAATACACTCTTTACACAGTTTGGAGCAACACACCATGCACACAACATCATACACCAACACACATCATCACACATCATGCACACACCATGTACACACTATCACACACCAACACACACCAACAGACACCATGCACACACCATGCACACACTATCACACACCAACAGACACCATCATAAACCATGCACACCTTCACACACACACACTCACCTTCACACACACACACACACACACACACACACCTTCACACACACACACTCACACACACAAACGGCTCAAACCTGGCTCTTTTCTCCGGTCCTGCACTAAAGGCTGTGTGCTCTCTGGAGTGACAGTGGTCCTGGGACAGCAGATGCAGCGCACCCCTCCCCCTCAGAGCAGTGTATTAAAATAGTCCCCCCCGACATGCTTCAAACATGACCTTATACAAGAGTGTCCTGGAGCAGCCCTGACCCCACCCACAGCACCCACAGCACCCACAGCACCCACAGCACCCACAGCACCCACAGCGCTCCCATGACTCGTCACAACCTGGAGGCCCCGTCTGCAGCGGAGTCCCGGGGCAGGGCTCAGGTAGCACTAGTGTCTCTGCTGTCACTGCTGTCTCTGCTGTCACTGCTGGTTGACATAAAAGTGCACGTGAACTGAAAGTGCACGTCAGGCTCACTCTTCATCTGTTTCAGTGAACGCTGAGGAACGACACAGAGAAAAGAGTCCAGGGTCTGGGCCAATCAGAACGTGACTCGTAAGAACAAACTCGCGCGGAAACTGTGGCAACTTTCAATTCCTTAATAGTTCTGGTCAAAGTTATTTTACTGCTTTTGTGAAAACAGAAAGAAAATCTGCTTGTGTTTAAAAATGACATATTCAAGTCAATTCCCATAATTTTCCATATTCTTGTTGATACGACACTGCCCCGGCCTTATCCATCCGTACTCTCCTGTCAATCATCATGTCCTGCAGGTAACGTCTGGGTCTGGTCCCTGTGTTTGAGATTACAATCGGTTGAATTCTATCCGACCAATCAGAGAGCGCGGGAGGCGGGTGTTGTAGTTAGATGTGGGTGACGTCAAGAGTTTGCGTCAAACGGGAAGGTTGTAGTTTGGCGAAGAATGTGAAAGTAAAGTATTCTGCTCTGGTTCTATCAAGAAACTGAAGCTGGAGCAAGAGGAATGTTTAGCAAATGTAATCTCTGGAAAAGATTGTGGCGCTACTCCCCACGGGCTCTGTTAGCAAAGGAGATGGCTAAAGTTAGGCTAAAGGCTAACTACAGACTCGGGCTCATTACATACGTCACGGTAAACTCAGATCCAATGGTTTCAATCTGCAAAAGGAGTTAGCCCCTCCCACCTGTTCACGGAGTCAATGGAGCAAATCCAGACCTTAGTACGAAATGTAATTTGTACTATGGTGTGGTACGACTAGGTCAGGTCCAGGTCAGGTCCAGGTCCAGGTCTGGTCCAGGTAAGTAATCTTTATTTGAGTAAGTAATCTTTATTTATATACCGCCTTTTCACTGCAGATCTGAGTCTCAAAGCGGTTTACAATTGTTAATTTTTGGGCATTTGTCTCTCACTCCACACAGAGATGGGAGCGGGGCCAGTACAGGAGGCATATGCCAGAACTATTGGACATATTTTTAGTGGTAGGGGAAACCGGAGTACCCGGAGGAAACCTACGCAGACACGGGGAGAACATGCAAACTCCACTCAGAAAGGCCCTGGTCCGACTGGGATTCGAACCCAGGACCTTCTTGCTGAGAGGCGAGAGTGCTATCCACTCAGCCACCGTGCCGCCCAGGTCTAGGTCTGGTCCAGGTCTAGGTCCAGGTCAGGTCCAGGTCAAGTCCAGGTCAGGTTCAGGTCAGGTCCAGGTCAGGTCCAGGTCAGGTCCAGGTTCAGGTTCAGGTAAGGTCCAGGTCAGGTCCAGGTCCAGGTCTGGTCCAGGTCAGGTCCAGGTCAGGTCCAGGTCAGGTCCAGGTCAGGTCCAGGTCAGGTCAGGTCCAGGTCAGGTCCAGGTCAGGTCAGGTCCAGGTCAGGTCAGGTCCAGGTCAGGTCCAGGTCAGGTCCAGGTCCAGGTCAGGTCCAGGTCAGGTCCAGGTCCAGGTCAGGTCCAGGTCAGGTCCAGGTCAGGTTCAGGTCCAGGTCAAGTCCAGGTCAGGTCCAGGTCCAGGTCAGGTCCAGGTCAGGTCAGGTCCAGGTCAGGTCCAGGTCAGGTCCAGGTCAGGTCAGGTCCAGGTCAGGTCCAGGTCAGGTCCAGGTCCAGGTCAGGTCCAGGTCTGGTCCAGGTCAAGTCCAGGTCAGGTCCAGGTCAGGTTCAGGTCAGGTCCAGGTCCAGGTCCAGGTCAGGTCCAGGTCAGGTCCAGGTCAGGTCAGGTCCAGGTCAGGTCCAGGTCCAGGTCAGGTCCAGGTCAGGTCCAGGTCAGGTTCAGGTCCAGGTCAAGTCCAGGTCAGGTCCAGGTCCAGGTCAGGTCCAGGTCAGGTCAGGTCCAGGTCAGGTCCAGGTCAGGTCCAGGTCAGGTCAGGTCCAGGTCAAGTCCAGGTCAGGTCCAGGTCAGGTCCAGGTCAGGTCAGGTCCAGGTCAGGTCCAGGTCAGGTCAGGTCCAGGTCAGGTCAGGTCCAGGTCCAGGTCAGGTCCAGGTCAGGTCCAGGTCAGGTCCAGGTCCAGGTCCAGGTCAGGTCCAGGTCAGGTCCAGGTCAGGTCCAGGTCAGGTCCAGGTCCAGGTCAGGTCAGGTCCAGGTCAGGTCCAGGTCCAGGTCAGGTCCAGGTCAGGTCCAGGTCCAGGTCAGGTCCAGGTCAGGTTCAGGTTCAGGTCAAGTCCAGGTCAGGTCCAGGTCAGGTCAGGTCCAGGTCAGGTCCAGGTCAGGTCCAGGTCAGGTCCAGGTCAGGTCCAGGTCCAGGTCAGGTCCAGGTCAGGTCAGGTCCAGGTCAGGTCCAGGTCAGGTCCAGGTCAGGTCCAGGTCAGGTCCAGGTCCAGGTCAGGTCCAGGTCAAGTCCAGGTCCAGGTCAGGTCCAGGTCAGGTCCAGGTCAGGTCAGGTCAGGTCCAGGTCCAGGTCAGGTCCAGGTCAGGTCCAGGTCAGGTCCAGGTCAGGTCCAGGTCCAGGTCAGGTCCAGGTCAGGTTCAGGTTCAGGTCAAGTCCAGGTAAGGTCCAGGTCAGGTCCAGGTCAGGTTCAGGTTCAGGTCAAGTCCAGGTCAGGTCCAGGTCAGGTCCAGGTCCAGGTCCAGGTCAGGTCCAGGTCAGGTCAGGTCCAGGTCAGGTCCAGGTCAGGTCCAGGTCAGGTCCAGGTCAGGTCCAGGTCCAGGTCAGGTCCAGGTCAAGTCCAGGTCCAGGTCAGGTCCAGGTCAGGTCCAGGTCAGGTCAGGTCAGGTCCAGGTCCAGGTCAGGTCCAGGTCAGGTCCAGGTCAGGTCCAGGTCAGGTCCAGGTCCAGGTCAGGTCCAGGTCAGGTTCAGGTTCAGGTCAAGTCCAGGTCAGGTCCAGGTCAGGTCCAGGTCCAGGTCCAGGTCAGGTCCAGGTCAGGTCAGGTCAGGTCAGGTCCAAACTGTTTTTACACGTTCCGG